AACTGGACCGTTCAAGGTCTCCATCAAGCTGATTTTCTATTAGCAGCTACACAAATCTTTTTAATAAACATTACATTACCAAGACACATGAAAACATACCTTTATCTTGGTTTTTTCTATTACTATAGTTTATTATAGTAATAAAGTAAAGGCAAAAAAATACAGTTGCAAAGAACAGCAACTGCTAGTGAAATATAATCTCTCCTCCCTTAATATTGAACTGTTAGCAAGTTATGACGGTCATAAGGCTGTCATAGAACAACAGTCTTCAGTTAGAGGCCTCTTCAGATTCATTGCAAGACTGACTGCAATCTTAGATCCTTCCTGCCCCCAGCATCACCAGTCAATCTAATGGTGCCAAGAAGCATACGGGACTATATATCTATTATTGCTCTGTGAAATACATTTCACATACACCTGTAAAGTTTACATAAACAAAACTCTACTAAGAGTGTATTTGCAGCATTTCAAAATAAAATGTAAACCAGCCAACTAATATGGAGAAGAGATAGAGTCTTACTGCCTCAGGGAGGTGCAGGATGGTGTGGTCTGTTTCAGGAAAAGCTGCCAGAGCTTTGTAGCCACAGCTGGATACCTCTGGATCCTGGTAGAGCACAAGGAACAGTGAGCACTTTTCTACAGAAGCACTACAAACTGATCTGGATGGTTCGTCAGACAAATATTTGGGGAAAACACAAACCTGGTTGGCAGCATAACTCCAGAGAAAGCTGACCACCTCCTCTTTCAGTTTCTGAAAGGAAAACACACATTTCAACATAAAAATCTATAAAGCAGAACCTAACCTAACCTGACCTAAAAAGCAGTCAGGCATTGTTTTCTAATGTTATAAAAAGTTCAAGAAATTATGATTTATGTTTTTTCCACATTTGTTAAAACTGCCACCATGTCGTGACGGCATGTATGTGAAAAGCTCAATCTCCACCTCCTCCTTGTAGTACTATCGTCACCACTCCCAACCAAGAACAACCAATTAGAGCCAGCAAGAGGGTCTTAGCGCTGTCAATCATGCTCATGTACACACCGCTAAGTGTGCTAATGGCAGAGAAAACATTTATTGTCATAGGAAACTGTTTATTCGCCACTATTAGTGGTCAATGTAAGTAGCCTTAGCATTCATGGCAGACTCCGTTGTGGTGAAGCAGCTGTAGTGTAACATAGAAATAGGGTGATTGCCAGTGCTAAGACCTTCCGCCTGGCTCTGATTGGTTGTTTCTGACAGACCAGTGTAATTGTTCTGATGTCATGGGTTCATAGGGAGAACAGGGAGGAGCTAAATTTTTTCACAGATTATATGTCTCATAACAATACAGCCACAAAGGGGGTAATTTTGTGTTTTATGTGCTGGTCCCAAGCCTGGATAAATGTAGAGGGTTGCATCAGGAAGGGCATCCGGCGTAAAACATTTGCCAAATCTGACATGCGAGTCAAGAATATGATCTCCAGTATACTGGATCGGTCGAGGCCCGGGTTAACAACGACTGCCATTGATGCTGGTCAACAGGGTACCAGTGGAAATTGGACTATTGTTGGTCAGCAAAGAAGAAGGGGAGGAAGACATGTTCGCATTATAGGCTGGAGAGTAAGGAGGGAGAAAATTACTTATACAGGTTGGCGAGGCAGAGAGCTAGAGATGGGACCGATGTACAGCAGGTTAGGGTGATTAAGAACCAAGATGGAACTCTACTGACAGATGCAAAAAATGTGGTAAGAGGATAGAAGGAGTACTTTGAAAAGTTGATGAATGAAGAAAACGAGAGAACAAAGAGGAGAAGAAGCTGCTCCTGTGGATCAGGAAGTAGCTTGAAAAGGATGAAGAGTGGAAAGGCAGTTGGTCCAGATGACAAAACTGTGGAGGTATGGAAGTGTCTAGGAGAGCCACCAGTAGAGTTTTTGACAAGGCTGTTCAATGAGATCCTAGAGAGTGAGAGGATGCCTGAGGAATGAAGAAGAAGTGTGCTGGTGCCAATTTTCAAGAACAAGGGAGATGTCCAAAATTGTGGTAACTAGAGATGTATATAATTCAATTAAGTTATGGGAAAGAGTTGTTGAAGCCAGACTGAGGTCAGAAGTGGAATCTGTGAGTAGCAGTATGGTTTCATGCCAAGAAAATGAAACAGATGCAATCTATGCATTGCGGATGTTGATAGAAAAGTACAGAGAATGTCAGAGGGATCTGCATTGTGTTTTTGTAGACCTAGAGAAAATACAGTATATGACAGGATTCCACGAGAGGAGCTGTGGTACTGCATGTCTGGAGTCTGGAGTAATAGAAAAATATGTTAGAGTGGTGAAGGACATAAATTATAGCTGTAAGACTGTGGTGAGGTGTGCTGTAAGAGTGACAGAGGAGTTCAAGAAGGAAGTGGAACTTCAACAAAGATCGGCTCTGAACACTTTCCTGTTTGCTGTGGTAATGGACAGGTTGACAGGTTACAGGGAACAGAAATAAAGAAAGTGAAAGATTTTAAGTACCGTACTTAGGGTCAACAGTCCAGAACAACGGTAAGTGTGAAAAAGAAGTGAAGAAACGTGTATAAGCAGGGTGGACCGGGCGGACAAAAGTGTCAGGTGTAATGTGTAAAGGTGTAAAGAGTATCAGCAAGAATGAAGGGAAAGGTGTACAAGACGGTAGTGAGACTAGTAATGCCGTTTGTTTTAGACACAGTGGCAATGAAGAAGAGGCAGGAGGCAGAGCTGGAGGTAGCAGAGATGAAGATGTTGAGGTTCTCTTTGGGAGTAACAAGGATGGATAAAATCATAAATGAATACATCAGAGGAACAGCTCATGTCAGATAAACATGAGCTGTGTAGGAGATAAAGTCAGAGAAGCCAGACTGAGATGGTTTGGACATGTACAGAGGAGAGACACTGAATACATCGGTAGAAGGATGCTGAGGATGGACCTGTCAGGGCAATGACAGAGGAAGAGGAAGACCAAAGAGGAGATTTATGGATGGAGTGAAAGAGGACATGAAGGTAGTTGGTGTGAGAGAAGAAGATGCGGAAGATAGGGTTACATGGAGACGGATGACTCGCTGTGGTGACCCCTAAAGGGAAAAAGGCGAAAGGAAAAAGAAGATATGTCTCATAAAATAATGTCACAACATAGTGATAGTTTTAACAAATATGTAAAAATCATATTTTTTATAGAAGTTACTTCCTGCAGCTTTATGTAGTCTACAAAAGGAGAAGAGAAAGCAGCTGAAGTACCTCATACTCCTCTGACTTCACAGTGAGCTGGGGAACCAATGACAGGAGCTCAGCTATGGCTTTAACCATCAGTGGACGGGAGTCACACTTCAGCTCAGCTCCAAGACTTTTCCATGTCGAGATGATGTCCACTACCTGAGAAACACGATGGAACCCTGATATCACTGAAAGCAAAGTCCAAATAAGCAGTGGGCTTCTCTGGGCTGAAACTGGGAACTCTGGCTGATAATTCTTGGTACAGTTACCAAGGCAACAAAGTGAACATTATTGAGAAATAAATTAGGAAAGCACTTGATCATGTGCTGCAGAGGTGGTTTACCTCTGCTTTGCACAGCTCTTGTAAGCCTTGCAAGGAGAGAGCAGCAGGGGTTGCCAGGTCTGGTCTGTTGCACTGCTTCAAAGTGAGTGAGATGGCAGCTAGCATGTCACCTCCATGCTGGTAAGGCCTGAGATGTGCACAAAGATCAGGGCTAATTAGCAGGGTACACCAAGGACACATCATCAGTCCACTACAGATGAAACAACCATTCACACTCAAATCTCTAAAAACAGGCAACTTTAGAAGATCCACTGACTCTAACCATCATATTTTTGGACTGCAGAAGGAAGCTTGAAATGTATTTAGGCTGACCCTTCAGTCATGGCAGAGGGTTGCTGTGTGAGGTGGGAGCTCAGTAACGTGGAAATTGCAGCTCAGAAGAGGAGCTGCGCCTCAAAGGCGGAGCTAGGTCCACCCAGCGTTTTGCACAGCTGTATGGTTACCATGGAGATTCAAGGATTTCTCAAACATGCATGAGGAATCAAGGCAACACTCCAGGTATGATTTGGATGAGAGAATAACATTCTAACATAACTTAAACCTCAAGAAAATATTTTAAATAATACTGCCCTTTACATCTAAAATTATTCATTTTTAAGAACTCATGGGGCTAACTTATATTATACCAGAAAAAATCTATAGAAAGAATAGTCAGAACCTGTGTTTACTGATGATACAAATGATTTGTTGATGTAAAACAGAATGAGATGTTTTTCTGAGAAATATTAGACTTTGCTTTATCCTTGTTTTCCTCAAAAATGTGCATCCCAAGGCTGCACTTTTATGCTCACAGTAGTCGTTTTGTCTTTTTATCTGCTAGCCACTCACTTCAAAGATAGCATACAGCACTGCCCCCTTAGACCACTGTATTGTAGGCCTTCATGGGAACACAGTGTAGGCATTTTAAGCTGGGCTTATGGTTGACATATGTACCATCTGCAAAGAATCAGGTTAAAACAACTTTTGAAGAATGTATACTCTGTATGGGTAGCCCATATTCTCCTAGACTCTAGGGGGCACTATAGAGTGCCTACAGCAGCCAAAATATGTTTTCGAAGTAAAACAATACAGCTGTTAGTAGCAACATGGCAACACCAGTGAGTGTGGCGATTATATTGTTTTTGTGGGCCAAATCATTAGTACATCTGTCTTTGTGAACCTCCAGTAGTAGGAGTCATTGCTAGTCCTCCATGTTTTTCCACGTGAAACTGTTACAATATTTACAATAGTTACAATATTTCAGAGGTGCATGGTGCAGAAAATTTGTGTGGAGAGACGTGATTGCTAAAAAGCTTAAATCAAGTTTCAGATGACATCATTTCAGCAGTTTCACACTTGAGTGTTTCACTACTCTGCAGCAATCCTACACTTGTGCTTATCTGTCACAGTCAGTAACAAAAAAGGTCGGATCAGAACAGTGACTCATTTCCCATCATTTGAGTTACAAAGTAGGTCAGTAGACTCAGTTCTTTAGTGAATGTCACAATTCTGTCTCCTCAATATCCTCCCCAGTGTGTCCAAAAATATGATAATTTTGTGACTAATCAAATATTTCAAATGTTTTGTATTTGTAAAGAAAGTGTTCCATTAAGAGTTTTAGTTTATTGAGTGTGTGTAAAATACATTAGTTTACAGTTGACTAAAATGTGCAGTTGATCAAAACAGAAAGCAAAACTTTACATAAACTAGAGACCAGAAACCGTTCACGGATCTCTGCTCAGTGCACTCTCTACACACACATCCTATTCCATCAATCAAATGACGCACCTCTCTTTGCAGATATCCCTGAGGCAGGCGGCCCTAGCCACCATCTGCTCCCACTGAGTGTCCTTACCCACCACCACTCTGATATCCTGCTGACCCAGAAGGCCCTGCAGTTCTGGGTAGACTCGGTCCTTTGGAGACCCAGGAACAAAGTGATCAAAAAGGATTTTTTTGAAAAGGTTCACACGGAAGAATATAACAGGAATGACTGGCATTTTATTGCTGACCTGTCTTTTCCACAGTACAGTCATCAGGCGCATTGCAACAGCTCTCAGCTTGGGTGAACTAGCCAGCATGTGGAGAGTCTGCAGCACCATGGGGACACAAAGCTGGGAAAGAGCACAGTATCCTCATAAGGCTTACAAGACAAAACCTTTACTCTGTGCTTCATTACATTTTAAATATCAAGTCACTGTACCTTATGGGTGCCGAGGTTTGGCAGGCTGTTAAGCACAGAATGGATCAAATCTGGATTTGTTTCCTTTGACAGTTTGAACAACAGGACAGGGATGAGAGAGGGGACCTGCAGACACAAATTCAAATCAGAACAACTTTATTAATCCCTGAGGGAAATAAATTGTTGTTCTAACAGTTAGAACAACTAACTGTTAGTTAGATTCTAACTAATAATATTTAGTTAGAGTCTAACTAAATATTATTCAAGGTTATTCAAAGAGTTGGAAAAGATGTGGGCAGGAAGGATCTTCTGTATAATAGCACATCTGAAGAAGCCTCTGACTAAAGACACTATTGTTGTAAAGTAGTTTCATGAAGAGGATGATCAGGGTTGTTTTATGAAGAATCCTTCTTTGCACAAAAATCTTCAGTCATCCTCAGAATTACATTTTAATAAGATGATGTTTTGTTTTATGTCTTTAGCCATTTGTTTGTCAAATACTTAATGAGATATATTTACCGTGTTTGATGTTTGTTGTAAATGACGTAATACTCACAGACGAACAAGATAATTAGTCCAAGTTTATCGTTTGTTGAACGTTCAGAAACTACAGTGGCTGTAATGTGCCACAGCAAAGGTAAACAAAGGTAAAATAACCTGAACAGACGATCAACTCTAAACCACTCCTACCTTTTTATTCTCCGTCTCTTTTTGTCGTTTAAGCACACCTGTTGCCATGGCAACCGCCTGCACTCCTCGAGCCGAGCAGTGATTACGTTAAAAACATTTAGTCCGTTATGAAGAATTTTGTCTGGCAGCTGAAGGAGGAACAGCTTATCCTGCTCTCTCCCGTCCTTACTGATAACTTTACCTGTGAATTATTTTTAAAGTTACAATTTCTATAGTTATTTTACATTAATCGACATCATAACTGGATTACTTCAAGCCTAAGGACCGGGAGATTTTCTCACTTTTAATTATTACCTTACTTTTCTTCACCTCCAAGTTGAACTAGGGCAAAATGCCCCCGTCCGACCCCAAGGACATTAACAGTATTCTACAACGACTTCAGTTTTTAGAAACGAAGATTCAACGCCTGGAGGTGAACTTTGAGATCAATGCTACCTGTGGATATGAAACAACTCTTCCTCAAACCAGCGGAGAGGTCGTACACCCTGCACCAAGCAGCTCACCCTGGATCGCTCAGGGCGCCAAGCTGAAACAAAAGTCTCACACTGCAGATCCCATGAGACGACTAACGGGGAGAAACCCTCACCTGGACGAAACAGCGTGGCCGGCTCTGAGCCGAAACCCACCTTCAACTTCAACACCTGCTCCGCCAAAGAATAGCAAACAAGCAGCTGGAACAAAAACGGCCCCACCGACCCCGCTCCCAAGGACAAAGCGACCAGCCCAAGCCTCAAAATATTCCGACTCCGTGGGAATCCCACTGAAAAACAGATTTTCTGCTCTCCAGCCTGAGCCTCTGACTGAAAACCCACCTTCAAACATCAACAATGAGGCTAAACCAACACATCCACCCCACAAAGCTCCGAAGGACAAAATGACCACCAGGAAAACGAAATGTATGCAAAGAGTTCTTATTGTTGGAGATGAGACAGTAAATGGAATCAGTCATGTTTGGAACCCCAAGAAAACGAGAGCGGTTTCTTTTCTTGGTGACACTGTATCTGATTTGACTCGCAAAGTGCTCTCTCTAACCACTGATCAGCCAAACATTGAGACTTTAGTTGTGCATGTTGGAGCCAACGATCTGGCAAAGCAAAAATCAGACATTCTGAAAAAGGACTTTAATATTCTTCTGGACACTATGGGAAAATTAAAAACAAAGTTATTTCTCAGCAGTCCAATTCCATCGCCTCAATGGGGAGACGAAAAACATTCCAGGCTGGGCATGATAAACAAATGGCTGATTAAAACCTGCTCTACCAGCTCAGTGACCTCTGGATCTACTGGCAGCGCTTTCACCTCTTTGGAAGAGGCGGACGCAATCTTAACAAACATGGAATAAGGCTGCTCACTGCAAACATTTTTCATTTTATCAACAAGAACAACAATGTGATAATCGCTTCAGAAGAACAGGCTCAAGGATGTCTGACTAGGATGGAACCCTCCGCTTATCAGAAGCAAAGTGTCCCAAAACAAAGTGCTGGGGACAGAATGACTGGTTCCCCTCCTCCTTCCTCTCTCTCTAATCACTCCCCACTCCCTCATCCTTTCCCCCTCGCTCCCTGCTCCTACACTCACTCACAAGATCAGAGTTTCCCAGGAAGTCAATCACTAAAGAGAGTCGGGCTGCACCTGAGCCGCCTGAAGATGCTGATGGAAGATCCGGGTCAGAGAGGAGGACGGACAGACTCCTCCTCCTCCCAGCAGGATGGTATGGATTAACAGGTTCGCCTCGGCACCCCTCTCCTTAGCACTAACATAGCAGCATCTAAGCCACCTGCCTCTGACCTCCCAGAGGATCCAGTGCTCTGCGTTTCTGAGGTCTGAGACCGGGGTCCAGACATTATCTTTACACCCGTCTTCCTCCAGAATGTGTCTGGCCCCCCCAACATTACATAGCAGGACATTACCTGTCCGGATCACTACAAGAAAAGTTAGAAAAAACAGAAATACAAAAAGCAGCGGTCTTAATTCAAACCTCAGACTGATTCCCTGCCTAAAGGAACCTCAGACTGAAGAACTTCCAGCCCCCAAGTCACTTAAACTAGCTCTTTTAAATACCAGATCTCTCTGTGCTAAAGCTCTATTAATTAATGATTTAATCACTGAGCATAATATTGATGTTTTATTTCTGACAGAAACATAGCTGAATGACAATAATGAAGCAATCGTACTAATTGAATCAGCGCCTCCTACATACAATTTTTTAAGTGAGAATAGAAAACACAAAAAAGAGGAGGCGTGGCTTCAATATTTAAGAATACCATAAACTGTAGTAAAATCTCTTTGGGTAATTTCACATCTTTTGAGTATCTTGGAATAGAGGTAAAAGGCCACAAACGAACTTTGACACTAATTTTACACAAAACCCCAACATATGTGGAAGGTTTCTTTACGGACTTGAATGAACTTCTATCTATCGTATGCATTGATTATGATTGTTTGATAATTGCCGGTGATTTCAACATTCATGTTGACAACCCCCAAGACCCAAGCTTTTTTGCCGAGGGGCAAAAAAGCTCTGTAATATATTAGAGTTTTGGTTTAACACAACATGTCAAACAAGCAACACATACTCATGTACACACACTGGACCTTGTTATCAGTAAGGGTGTGAATATTTCCAGTGTCTCTGTAACTAATGTTGCCCTGTCGGATCACTTTGCTGTTATCTTTGAATGTTCTTTATCCGTTAACCCACTTGTACAAAAAGCTACTATCACAAAACATACTTTCACAGAAAACACAGCAGAAACATTTAATCAAATCTACTCTTCTTCCTCGTCCTTAAGCTATAATGACGTAGATAAGTTGGTAGATGATTTTCAGTGCAAACTTTCAGATATCATTGATTACATTGCCCCCATTAAAGTGAAGGTTGTGTCTGGTAGGAAGAAATCTCCATGGAGAAATGCACAAACAGTTCAATCTGCAAGACAACTCTGCCGTCGGGCCGAACGGAAATGGCATAAAACTCAACTTCACGTTTACTATGAAATCTATACAGAAAGACTACATAGCTATCACTCAA